GTTTCCTTGAGAGAACTGCGGGGGTAATGTGGATTGCTCTGGAGGAGCTGAGAGCAGCTATAATCTCTCTCTATTTTCACGAAACATACACACACACACAGTGCCTTCATTATATATGCGGTTGTGAAGATATTTTAACCACAGTGGAACAAAGTAAAATCACGTCTGATTTAACTCCTACAACAAATCCACCTATAAAAATTATCTCCTATAATATTCTGAGTTCCTTTTGTATGTTAATCTTAGACAAATGTTGCTTACAGTCCATGATGGAAGCAGAATAAGATAAGAAGAAATCCCTTAACAGTTGTTATTAATTCCAACATTAACTGCCACAGAGCAGAGTGCCATTTACTAAATGGAACAGATGCGGACTTGAAAAAAGTAAACAATCGTCATATGGCTAGCTGCCAGATTCTAAGTAGATATATTAAACTCCAACTGAAGTGCATTTCCCCTATGGATTACACTTATTGACACTTCATTTCCTATCTACTTTATCCACAGTGCCAATCCTACCACATGGCTATTTTCAGCTTTTTTCTGACCCCTGAGGCCTAGAACTACCATACAGAACCATTAGTAAAGGGAATTGTATGTGTCTGACACGGCCTGAAACCAATTATTGTATATTTTCTTCAGAATGATGCTCAATTCCATTGGGAATCAGCAATCATGAAATAATTTATCCCCTGATTTAATTTTTTTCCGGCACAAATTAGTTGTAGTCTGTGCCGGCTGTACACAGCTGCATGTGACAAATTTCTGCCTTATCAAGATTACACGTGCACTTCATATGATGAAGAGGAAAAATAAATGGGGCAAGGGAATGTGCAATCCATCGTGTTCTAAAATTGCATTGATAACTTTATAAGATACACTGATCATAAGTATCCCTGTGATAAGAACAATAAAGGGTTGCTCAGTAAAGCAAATATCCAAATATTGATTCATTTCAGATATCTGTTTGCCTTTAAATATTATTATACTAAATACTACAGAACATTTACTCTTTTGGGGATTGAAGGTATATCTGATTTTAAACAATTGGTAGAGAAGCTGCCTAGTCTGTATGCATTGCATTTGGTTTAATTGAGGATTTATGAATCAGAGTATGTGCAGTCAACACTAAATTCAAAATATTAGACCTTGCTCAATTAACACCACAAATTTAACTGTAATTAATTTCATTATAAACAAACTCATTAAATATATTTATAGGTCTCGTAAATTCTAGCACATATTACTGTTTTTTTTCCACTTAACAGAAACCTGTGAAAATCATAATGGTATATAAATCACACTTCTAAGTAAAGGAGGTAGAGATGTGTATGCTGTGCTTCCCTAGTGACTCAATGAAGAAACTGTAGCACCATGTGGTGTGAGAATGACCTATAAACATTAAGAAGGTCTCAGGTTTGATTTTTGGAACCATATTTCTGCTCATGTAGCCTTTGGGACAGGATAGTAAGGAGAGAAAATCAAAGAGGAAAAAGTTGAGGCTGAGTAAAAATAATAAAAAATGCATTAAGGTTCCAATTGAAATAAACTAAACTAGATTATTAAAAGATACTGTACTAAAATATGCTTAGTTTGTTGTTAGAAAACATTGTGCGAATTGCAATAATAAGAGTATTTATTTATCATGAGTCTTTTTTTTAAACAATCCATCGGATTATTCTCCAACAGGTTCTCATGCCCTTCATGGCCTCACACCTCCCTACCTATCTGACTTGCTTACCCCCCACTCCATCACCCATTGCCTCTGCTTGGCCGGCTCCAGCCTCCTATTCGTCCCTCGCCTCCTCCGCTCCACCATCGATGGCCATGTTTTCAGGCACTGCGTCCTGAAGCTCTGGAACTTCCTCCTTCAATCCCTCCATCTTGCCCTCTCCCTCGCCATTTTCAAAACCAATCTAAAGACCATCCTTTTTGATCGTGCTTAAGGTCACCTCCCCTCTCCCCCTGGCTCGGGGTCAGACTCCACCACTGTCAAGCATTCCAGGACTCTATCCCACGTGAACGGCGCTATATAAATGCGAGTTGTTATTGCTATTCTCAAACAGTGTTCATCAAAGAGTAGTCGCCTTAAGACACCCTCCCAATGTGAAAGACCATTTACAAATGTAATTTGCTGCTGTTGTTGTCACGCTAAGAACAATCTTATTTTTAATTGTCATAAGGTGGACTAAATCTTGAAAATGTGTGCATCCTAGCAACCAGAGAATAGTTTGCACAACTGAATGAATCAAACTTCCAACACACTTTTCTATTTATCCCATCTTCACTTTCGTTTTACCATTTTGCCTTTTTCTGTCCCTCCACACTCTTTCATAATCTATTAGTTTTCTCTTTGGTCATTCTCAGCAGTTATTCTTTTTTTAATCTTTTAATCCTCTTGTTGTCCCATCTGTTCCTTCTCTTTTTCAACTTTCTCTCACAGCATTTCGCTCAATTTGCTGCACAGTCAACATTTATTCCACTTTTATTTATTCAATTTGATCCTGAAAGTCACTCCTAATAAAACAAAAATAAACTGTGCTTTGTCGTGACAAGCAATCAGCATAGGTGCACTGAATATTATGTGCTGCTGTTTTATTACTTTGCTGACCAAATTAGCATTTAAGTTTTGAAATACCAAAGCCATTTTGAAACTATCAACAACTTAAGACTTTCATATTGGATAATAACTCTTAAAGTGTTTTTCAAAAGCAACGTAATCACTATGTAGATTGATAAGGAGAGTGTGAGGTTGTGGTTCAACGTTTTTTAAAAACAGTTTTGAAGGCAAGGAGAGAAAGTGAAAGCAAAGCGTCCTCAGAAGAGGCTAAAAGCTTGGCCACTGATGGTGGCTACTGACAGAAGGAGAAGTTATGGCTGTGGAGTTCTGTGTGAGTTTAAGTTTACAAATGGTAACAGCTAGGGAGGGCAGTCCAGAGAGCTTTGGATGAATCTAGCCTCAAGGTGACAAAAACATAGAAAATATTACTATTGAAGGGTCTTAACAAATCCTCTCAAAAAAGGGAAATTGTGAAATATCCTTCATGTGGGTGTAAATCGTTATGCAAGGATTAAATCAAAATCCTGTAAAATACTGGATTTACTCTGTATATGAATGCTTTGAGAATGTTAAAATTAATCAAATTTATTTTAATTATTTGATCTGCAAAACATGCACTGATGATGAGACTCTTTAATTAAGATGGATCCTTTTATTTAAACAAAAATGTCTTGACAAATAATCTTCAATCTTACCGATGCATGCAAATCTAATTCTTTCATAAATCTGTTCATAAAGTTACTCAACTAAGCTATGTTAATTAAAATCACATTCTGGAATGCTAGTTTTCAAAGGAATTAAATATATCTGGCCTTTCATTTAGGTATAATTAAAGGATTTGGATGTGTCACATAAAGAAGAAAGGATAGGTAGGAGGGCGTAACACGCTAGTTACACATCAGAAGGGGTTGGACAATGTCATAAATTATAACAACAAAATTGAAGATTGAATTTCTGGCTTCAACTTACTCCTACTATTTCTCATGACACCTTCAGTCTGGGAATCTTCAGTCACTTGAGCTATGTGGAGCTTTGCATGCTAGTTCTATTGAGGAAAGTTTGATGGCAATAAATGCATTTTACATGAACTGTGTCATAAGCAACTTCAGGTCCATTGTTCATGTGAGTGATAGAAAGTTGGTCCAAGATGATTTATTCAATAACATATGACATTTTGCACTGCTTTATATTTTCCTGGTTGCTTGTATACACATGAGGTTCTATTTTTTAGAAAAGTTAGCAAACTGCTTGTGCACTAAAACAAATCATAACAATAATGAAACATTAAATAAATTAACCAAGAAACCCTTGAGTGATAAACATTGTTTAACATCAGTCATACTGAAACATGTAAGGCTAAACTCTAAAGCAAATCATTAACACAGAATAGATATGCTGATTGGCATGTTTCTGTGACATACCACGCCATGTAAATCAAGCAAGATATATACAAAACACTGTGGATTCATATGATTATCAGTTATTATCACAATTGACCAGTTCATGTAGATAGTTACATACATTACAAATTGGCTTGAGAGGTATGTTATAATAATAAATATAATAATTCTTGCATTTGATATAGCACTTTTCACATCTTCTCGACGTCTCAAAGCACTTCACAGAATATGCTGTAAAGTGAATTGACTGTATATTTGTGGGCGAAATGCAGCAGCCAATTGCGCACAGTAGTGTCCCACAAACAGTCGTGGACTGAAAATGATCAATTTATTATTGTTTTGTTTTGGAGCAGTTATTATTAGGCGTGAAGAGTAAGGAAACTTGCCCAAGGTTTCGCCCTGCCTGAAATTGAACCCAGGTGTCTCGCTTGCAAGGCGAGTGCTCTAACCACTGAGCTACAGGACTCCAAAGGAAGTTACTCAAACCTACAACATAATTATTTAATTGGATGTATTTTCATTGATCTAATGCTAAATGTGAAAATATATAACTGTCATAGCTGGAAAAAAACCTTAAGTAATTTGGGGAAGATCATATGTACAAAACAACAGGAAAGAATTTTGTTTGTCAGATCTGGATTTTCCACTAAAAATAGAAAGAAATATTCCTATTCCCAATGAGTTTCATTGATCTCTGCAAGGAAATCCTATTTTGTAATGTGATTCAAAATATAATGTACATTACTGCGCATGTGGAATTAATGTATTATTGGTGAACATTAAAAGTAGAATGCTATGGCTGGAAAAAAGAACAATAAAATAACATCTAATCAGCTTAACAGGCAAATGCTCACAGTGAGAATAGTTATAATGTTCTGCAGCAAACAAATATGCACACTGAATTTTGAAGACTGGGTAATACGCTAGTCCCATAGAAGTAGTCTTCAGAACATAAAACAACAAATGTACATAACTAGTTGTACCATCAAAACGTAATAAACCCATTTCTATCATTGGACAAAGCAATAGAAGGCACTTACCTGCAGGCTGTACTGTTCCTTTTTGTTTATTTGAGCTTTTGCTCGTCTTTGCCAGGTGAATCACATTTTCCCTCAATTGTTGCTCGCAAAACCTTTCAACCAAAGTGAAGAGTTCTTCTGCAATATTCTGTAGGTACGTATCATTGACAAACTTCAGTACTTTAGAGGTCTCCATAAGGGTACGTAGAACATATAAATCTTGTCTCATCATAGTGCACACCATAGGGATCAAGTTTTGAAATGTGTGAACCATTTTGTCTAAACTGATCTCACCAGAATTGTTTAGTAGACTGTTCTTGAACAGATCTTGCACAGATTTGCTCTGGATATTTTGATATTTGGTTAGAACTTCGGATTCTGGATACAAGAACAGAAGCCGCTGAAGACACTGTGTTTTGAACTGAACATTTTGATGTAGATTATTCATTTCTTGATTGCTTTGAAGCTTATCAACTAGGAACCTACGAAGATGCAATCTCACATCATCCCACACAGACTGCAAATGTAAGGAGTCACTGTCCTCGATGGCATGAACTGAAGTAGCAGAGGGAACCGTAAATAAAGACCCAGTAGAATTCAAAGGAAACACAACACCACATTCCGCAGAGAGATCCAGAAGCAGCTGCAGGATTGTTTCTTCTGGGCCTTTTTCAGTCTTCAGAAATTGATGCTTTCAAAGAAAACATGAAGAATAAATAATTATGCACTAGAATAGATAATACTAGAATTGACATTAGTTGTACCACAGCTTTCAACTCAACAGATATAAATAACGGGATCTTTTCAAGGACTAACTAGCACTTTACAGTACAACAAAAATGTTTTGCATCCCAGAGGCTTGAAAATAGCAGAGCACGACACTGAGCCGGGGGTAGGTAACCGTAGGCATGGTTGAAGAGGAAGGTCTTCAGGGGCGACCTGAAGATGGGGATGGAAGGGACAACATGGAGGGTCAAAGGAAGAGTTTTCCACTCTCGGGACATAGTGGCAGAAAGTTCGACCATCAATGGTGGAACAGAGGCCATGAGGGATATGCAGGAGGCCGTTGCCAGTCGAGCGCAGGCAGCGGGTAGTGGAGTGGGGAACAAGCAGGTCGGACAGGTAGGGAGGTACCAGGGCGTGAAGAGATTTGAAAACGAGTGTGAGAATCGATCTGTTCGGCGATAGGGAGCCAGTGGAATCTGGCTAAAACTGGTGTGATGGGGGTACAGTTATATTGGTAATCACGACACCTAATTTGTGCCAGCAAGTCCCACAGTCAACAATGAAATGATAAATCAATTAATTTGAACTTGGGTGAGACTCAATGAAGAGCAAATATAAATGAAGACAATCAGGAGAAAAACTACACATTTCTTTGAAATTGTGCAGGGTAGGAATCGGGTTGGAATCCTTTAACATCATAAGGCTGATGGAATCTAAATTAATGTCACAATCAAAAAAAATCTGGAAATCAATTCCAATACTATATTTAATATAAAATATAGTATTTAATATAGAATGATATAGGAAGAGGAGTTTGGCCTATGAGGAGAGACTGGAAGAACTAGGACGTTTTTTCATTAGAAGAACGAAGGTTAAAGGGTGACTTGGTGGCAGGATTTAAAATTGTGAGGGATTTTGATAGAGTCAATTGGGAGAAATTATTTCCATCTGTTGGTGAGTCAGTAACGAGAGGGCAACAATTTAAGATAGTTAGCAAAGAGCAAATGGGGAAGTTAAGGTGTTCACACACCTGAAAAAACATTATAAGAGCAGTTAAAAATTAAGTGCTAAAGAATCTAAATGAAAACATTTCTGCAATCTAAAGTGATTACATAAAGCTAGTTTGTATCAAACAACAATAAATTTACATTTATTTAGTGCCTTTCACATCGGAGGACGACCCCAAGGCACTGTACAGTACAGGGTTTGCATCAGGGCTGGGGGTGGGAGCTGAGGCAGAGGGGGGGGGGAAGATGATCTAAGGCGCGGTTAAGAGGAATGTCTTGAAGTAGGCGAGAGAGAGGCGAGTCCAGGTTCAAGACCTCCCATCAGTTTGGCTATTTTTTCCAACATGAACAAATTATTTTCATATAGATGACTATATATTGCATAGTGCCAAGCCTAAAAGTTCACAATGTCAGCATCGCTTTGTTACTTCATAAACAATAGGATATTATTACAGTGCTTATTCTCATATCTATGATATTTTAGGGCTTTATGAATCACTCAGATCTGATAAACCTTTGAAGTATAGTTTGATAAAGCTTAACATTTGTGACAAGTTTGGGGATAAAATTGCATTTTACTTTTAACAGGAAAAATGTCATTGGCCACGGTACGAAAAATCTAACATTACTGAAAACCCTAAGGGTGAAACAAGTAGAGGCTCTCAAAATGTAATATCTATGGTCAAATCTAGTGTGTAAGCTATACCTAAGTATAAGCTTCTCGCCTATTTTTGATTACTTTTTTCTTAGATATTAGTTCAGGAACCTTACTTTACATGCCACTTCTTGTTCCACTTGCATCTAATATGGATAGCATTAATTCTCGTAGGCATGAAGGCTCGGTTTGCAATTCTGACTTTTTGATTTAAACGTTATCAAATCCAATTCCTCTTTTTTTTCTTCAGACTCAAGGTCCTGCATTATAACTGTAAGAATTTCACTATTTGCAGTACTGTCAACTCTAATAACAAACTTGCGATAGTTCCTCCAAGCAGAATCTTGATACCCTACACTTATTCTCAAAGTTTACTCTGTGCATTCCTGAGAAAGAATAGGGAGGGAATTTATACTCTGGGAGAATTCTCAATTGAGTGGAGGAACAGAAGGATCTCTGGGTACAACTAAATAGAATGTTAAAAATGGGACTTCAGGTAGAGAAGACCATCAAAAGGACAATCAAAGTTTATATACAAAGCCTTTGAATACAAAAGTAAAGAAATTATGCAATTATCATTTCTAAAACCCTATATCGTTTTTCTGCATGTGGGTGTCCAATTCTTTTTTAAATGTACCAAATACTCTGAAAAATCTATCTAAATGTTAGATAGATTGTTGATAACTTTCTGGGAGAAGAAGGTCTTCAGAACCTCTCATTTTATTCCCCAAGTCAAGGAGATTTATTGCCTCTTGTCCTCGAATCCCTTACCAGCAAAAGCAGCTTTTCACAATTAATTCTTTCAACACTTTCATCATCTTCAACAACTATCATATCACCACCCTCCAACCTTCTCTGCTCCAAAAGAAGCCTCTCCTCTCTAGCATCTCCTCATAAGTATTATAATCTTTCATCTCTGAAGTCATGCTTATGAACCTATGCTACACCCTCTCCATAACTCTAATATATTCTCTATAATGTGGTGCCCACAACTGCACACAATATTCCAGGTGCAGGCCTAACCAATGTCTTGTAAAGATTCATCATTATTTCATTACTTTTGTATTCATTGGCAGTGTATAAAACCTGGAATCTTGTTTGCCCTTTTAACGGCCTTCTCCACCTTTACAATTCCACTTTAGACATTGATGCCCTGAGATTCCTGTTCCTCCACTCCATTGAGAATTCTACCACTGAGGTTATAATTTCACTCCCTAATATTTCTACCAAAATTCATCACTTCACATTTTTTATATTAAACTCCATTTTCGACAAATCTGCCAACTCAGCTAACCTGTCAATATCTGCCTGTAGCTTCCGGCACTCTTCGTCACTGTTAAGAGTCAAGGCAGAAGTAATTTTCCTGTCAAAATCTTTGTATGTATTTAAAGGCCATGTTTTAAAATAATAGCAATTAGTGTTGAAAATCTGTAAATTTTATTTACCAGGGCTTTAAAAAAATCTGTCAGTTGGTCACATGGAGTGGAGAATGGTTTCACAGAAGAGATATTGGGATTACTTAACCACTGTAGACAGTCTCCAGTGTTCTGCAGCTTCTCTCCCACACCCAACTCACTCAGGTCTGACTGCAACTCCCTCACAGTCTGCTCAATGCTGAAAGACAATAATAATAATAATAATTCCTGCATTTGAAATGGGGGGAACATAGGAAACAAATCAAATAATATGTTATTAACACTGATAATAATAATCCTTGCATTTGATAACAGAACATTTTAAATGTGATTATTATAATCAACTAAGAGGCAAAGAAAGAGAACTTTTTGGTTTAGTCAGCCAGTGCTCTGAGATGTGCTAGAACCTTTCACCAATTTGAATTGCTCGTGGAGTCCTGTAGCTCAGTTTTTAGAGCACTCGCCTCGCAGGCGAGAGGCTTAGATTTGATTCCCGGCTGGGCAAAACGCTGGGCAAGTTTCCTTACTCCACACGCCTCTGTTTACCTAGCAGTAAGTGCAGTAAGTACGAACCCGGTTGTTAGTCAACTGGTGAGGATAATAATCCCTCAAAAAAATAATAATTTGGTCATTCAATCCACGACAGTTTGTGAGACACTGCTGTGCACAATTGGCTGCCGTGTTTTGCCCACAAATATACAGTCAATTCACTTCACAGTATATTCTGTGAAGTGCTTTGAGACGCTAGAAGATGTGAAAAGCGCTAAATCAAATGCAAGTATTATTATATGTTATATAAAAGAGAGCACCGACACACTGCTAAAAATTTCTTTAGTTCTTTGAAGTGCTTCTGGTTCTAGATATTATGACAGTGTGAAAGGCGCTATACAAATGTAATTTTGTTGTTGTTATGAATGAACAAACACAAAGATTCTACTAAGTATTTCTGGAATGCTTCATCTATCCACCAGGGAACAGATATATAACCTGCTTGACATATAACCTGTATTTATACTTGCAAATATCCCACATCTGTGCCATGACCTGCTCCGCCTTTCCCCACCTCTGCACCATTGCCCAGCTCCACCACTGTCTCACATCGCAGGCCGGCAAGACCCTCATCCATGCGTTCATCCAGGCTCAACTAAGCAAACTCCCGCTTGTTAGTCTCCCCAACTCATCCTCAACAGGCTGCAGATCATCCCGAATTCTGCAGCCCATGTCCTCTCCCTCACCAGGCTCCGTGACCCTATAACCCCCATCCTTGCCCAACTTCACTTGCTCCCCATCACACAGATACAGTTCAAGATTCTGGTCTTCACCTTCAAAGCCCTCTATGGCCCTCTGTGATCTCCTAACCCCCTAGCAACCTGTCCGGTTCCTCTGCTCAGCGGGCACCAGCCTGCTTCATGTCCCCCACCTTGCCCACCCCATCATTGGCAGGCGGGCCTTCAGCTCTCTGTCCCCACCCTCTGGAACTCCATCCTACAGTACCTTCGTCTCGCCTCCTCCCTTGCATCCTTCAGGACCCATCTCAAGACCTTCCTCTTTGACCGTGCCTTCGGTCACCCTCCTACCCCTCTCCACCCACCCTCCACCCCTCCTGATCCCAACCACCAGCACGGGTGCAGATCCCTGACTGTCCAACGCCTTAGGATGTCCTCCTGAGGTGAAAGGCGCTATATAAATGTGATTTGTTATTGTTGTTAAAAATAAAAGTTAGCAGAAGCCAAGGTATTAGAGATAAAACTATCCATATCGTAGTTTACTCGTACAAGGCACTGGTAAGCTTCTCCTGCTTGTACAACTACGATCACCCTGTGGCAGCCAGTTTGCACACAGCAATCTACAAGACCAACAAAGTAGGAAGTGACTCAATGAATCACAGCCATTTTAGTACAAAAAGGTTGACATGAGGGAAACATTGTTGCTGTGAAGCAGCTTACTGCTGACAATGTTCCAAAATATTTGATGTAGCAAACAACAATCAAATACACACACCCCTAAATTGTTCTTATGAAAATACATTAGAAGAAGACAACAGAGATGTTTTACATTTGTTTTCTTTAGGAGTCAAAAATGCCTCAGAAATTTGTCCTTTGCCACCCATCCATGGTTCCCTATAGACTGAAAAATCAATTGTACCACATACGTCAGCACCATAACCTAACCACGTACAACAGGACAAGGACTATCACTTTGGCTCAAATAACAGTAGTGGATTCAGGTTGTGGTAAACTGCAGATATTGGAACGGGAAGAAGAGAAATGGGACGAGAAAATTCTTGAGAGATAAAGAGCAGTATGCCAACACTCAATCTATGGTAACACCCTTCTCAACCTGCCATAGGCATATTCGATGGCACACCAGCACATTCCAATGCAACAACAACAGCAAAATTACATTTGTATAGCGCCTTTCACGTCGGGAGGACATCCCAAGGAGCTGGAACAGACAGAGTTATGGGACCCGAGCTGGGGGTCGGGGTGGGAGAGGGTGGAGGGCAGGGGGGTAAGCAGAGAGATCAAAAGCACGGTCGAAAAGGAGGGTCTTGAGGTGGGTCTTGAAGGTAGCGAGGGAGGGGTCGAGACGGAGGGATTGTGGGATGGAGTTCCAGAGGGTGGGGGCAGAGTGGCAGAAGGCCCGCCCGCCAATAGTGGGGCAAGCGAGGGGGGGGACGTGAAGCAGGCCAGAGCCTACTGAGCGGAGGGAGCGAACAGGATGTCAGAAGGTTCGGAGGTCGGAGAGGTAGGGGGGAGCAAAGCCGTGGCGGGCTTTGAAGGTGAGGACAAGGATCTTGAGGCAAGGATGGGGGTGATAGGGTCGCGGAGCCTAGTGCGGGAGAAGACACTAAAAGAAAACTGTGTGTCAACACCCAATATTAGACTGTGATAGTTGAGCCAGGGTGACTATATCATTGATACGAAGAGTAAGTTGAATCATTTCCTGAGCCGGCACAAGATATGATGGGCCGAATAGCCTCCTTCTGTGCTGTATAATTCTATGAAAACACCTAAAATTTCTAAGAGATACAAAAGTTATCGTCAATTACAGTTGTGCTATTCATAAAGTCTAAGCAAAATGTAGAAACACTAAATCACTAATTTAAAAAAACTAACATTTTCTGACATTGATATTTAAGAAAGTTTTACCCAATAATTTAAAATGGGGGTGCACTTTCTAAAAACTTTTTTTTAAAGTAACTAAGCACAAGTTTTATATATACCCTAGAGTTTCATAAATTGAACCTACACTGTATCCAAGAGGAAAACAACAAAAATGTTAATTACTTCATTAAAGATTTTGTGGGAATACTGTCATTTTATTGACATCCCCCAAGGCTGGCATTTCAGGGAAGAGAATACGAAGCAGACGTGCTCCATTTGAGTGGACCCTTGCAGAGCATGCCTGGGAGGCGCCAATGAGTGACGTGTAATTGGGTCTGTTTCGAGAGTTTTACTGTGCTCACTACTAACCAACACTAAATTTAGTGGAGACTGATTTAAAAAGAGAAAAGAAGGCTCCTGCTTAGTCTATAAAGGGACCAACTCTGCACAACTTGAAGGTGGCTAGCAGCCATACTCTGCAAGGATCCTGACCTGACCTCAATGGAATGAACACATTAGCTTTGGCAGTCTACGTTTGCTCTGAAATCTCAGTCTACATGTGCTCTACAGAGCATCTTATTATATAATCCTTAATGGTGGGAATATTTAATAATAATAATATAATAATCCTTGCATTTGATATAGCGCTTTTCACGTCTTCTCGATGTCTCAAAGCGCTTGACAGAATAGACTATAAAGTGAATTGACCGTATATTTGTGGGCAAAACGCGGCAGCCAATTGCTCACAGCAGTGTCCCACAAATAGTCGTGGATTGAAATTATCAATTTATTTTTGTTTTGTGAGGGATTATTATTAGGCATGTGGAGTAAGGAAACTTGCCCAAGGTTTCGCCCTGCATGGAATTGAACCCAGGTGTCTCGCTTGCAAGGCAAGTGCTCTAACCACTGAGCTACAGGGCTCCACAAATACTTGTCAACCAAATGCTGAGACAAGGAGGTAGGAATCTTACATTTGAAATACTTCTGTCTATACTAGCATTGCCCTTCAAATATATTTTGTAATATAACATTCTACCATGTATTTTGATAACTTACAGGGTAAAAATCAACTATATTAATTGGCTTAATTAACCACACAGTTAATACTATATGTTTTAGCATGGATATGAGTATGTTAAAAGCATAATCCCTCCAGTTCCAATCTGCTATAAAAATGCTAATTAATTCTCTAGACTGCTTTTTCAGAAGTGAGAAAAAGAGAAATCCCTAATCAATTCTGCATTTTAAAAAAAGGTACCTTTTATTTTTTAAACAATGAAACTGTTTACATACCCAATTTAACATTTGAAAATAAAATAATGCTATTTATGTTTGATATAGCATCTTAGCACACCAAAATGTTTCAAACTGCCCTTCACACAATCAATTATTTTGAAGCACATTGGCCGTTATATGGACAAATACCACAACATGCCATATCAACAATGATTGCCAAATTAATCAGAGGGGCATTAGCCAAATTATGAGAATTCATGTGCTTCTTTAAAATAGTGCCAGAAGGATCTTTAATATTCACCTGAAGCATCTTCAATTTAACACTTCACCAAATGATGGCGCCTTCAAGAATGAGCATTGCAATGCGGAACAGCACACTATGTGCATCAGCCTATCTCAGTCGATAGCACTCTAACCCTCTTCACCAGAAGATTGTGGATTCAAGCTCTACGTCAGGACTTTGAACTCACACTCTAATGCAGTGTTGAGGGTGTGCTGCATTGTTGATACAGATGAGACCTAAACCAAAGTTCAATATGCCTATGCAGGTGGAATGCTAAAGATCCCATGGCACTATTTGAAGAGAGAAGGGAAATCCTGGCGAACAATCCCCCAAATGACTGTTTGTAGGACATTGCTCTGCACAAATTGGCTGCCATGTTCACCTACAATACACAGTAAATCTTGTGAAGTGCTTTTAGATATTCACCAATTGTGAATGGTGCTATATTAAATGCAAACATTATTAATTATATTCCCTCAGTGCTGCACTGGAAAATCAGTTTAGATTATAAACTACCAAAAACCCTCTTAGACAGAGTGTTACCAACTTAGTGCCACTGAATTAAAACTTTTA